GGCTGGATGCACCAGCAGCTGGAACAAAGACTATGTTTTCTTGACTCTTCTACCCTCCCAGCTAGAGTGACCATGTACCCAATTTCTGGCCAACAGGAATATGCTGGTGTGCCATGTGTAACACTGGAAGAAGGTGTAACACTTCATCCTTCTCCTTTCTGTTGTCTGGGATGTGAACAAGACATCTGGAGCTCAAGCATCCGTCCTGTGGCCACAGAGCTTCATGATAAGGATGGCAGCTTAGCTGGACAGAGGAGACTAAGCCTCAGATGATCATGAAGGCCTCACATAGGCCCTGGACTATCTGTGTACTTCATGTATGTGGGACAGGAAACACCTTATGTTGTTTGGTACCCTGGCATCCTGGGACTTCTGTCATACAAAGGCAAACTTCATCCTAAGATGATAAACTTAGAATATGCATAATAGCATTATTGGTTTTGCCCCCTAAGACCCAGACTTGCATTCTCCCTCTGTTTCCATAAATTAGTGTATGATCAATAACCCAGTTCCAGAAAATCTGGAGTGATTCTTGACCTTTAGTTTCTGTCCTTACTCCCTCATCCACCGACCTTCTACTCTCATTGCCCTGCTCCCAATAAGTCTGCATGTCCTGGTGTTTTTATTTCTAAAATATATCTGTGAACTTCTCTTATCTTCACTACCACAGTCCTCATCTGAGTTACCTCCATCTCACTTGAGCAACTGCAACATCTATTAACCAATTTCCCTGCTTTCATTCCTGTTACCCTCCACTCATTCTCCATATAGCCATAATCATCTTTTTATAACTTAAGGCAAACAATAGCATTTCACCCTTTAAAATGCTAAATGGCCAAGTGGGCTGCATTGTTCCAAACCTAATAATTGAGCATCCAAAGGAAGTGGTAGATTAAATATCATTCAGGAAATCTGTGAAAATTTGTCCTCATTCTCAGACCATTAGTAAGATTTAGACAGCAGAAACCTCAGACATATTGTTAAGAACATGGAGTAAAAGGATTCTCTGCTGCCAATTCAGAACAAAACCAGATATAATCAACTGAGTGGAGGTTCAGGTTGGCACTGTCTTGAAGAGTTAAGAAGGTGCAGACAGAACAAGCATCTGGTCTATCTTCCTTTGAACAAGAAAAAAATCACTGATTGATTCTTCCAAACACCCAGGCCATTTAACAGTTTCTCAGTCTACAATCACTAAATAGTTTTCTCAGAGCAGCACAGATGAATCTTTGACATGCTGCTGAGCACAAGCAGCCAGACACAGAACGATTATACATATTTCCATTGAAGGGAAGGTCAAAGAGGGGTGGGAGGAGACTTTCAGATGTGACGGAAGTGATGACTCTCTTAATTTGGTGATGGCTGTACAGGTGCGTATTTGTCAAAACTTGAAATATATTTAACATCTTTACATTTTATATTGAGCTATATTTTACATTCCTTAAATAAATAAAAATGTCCTGCAACTGGGGTTCTGGGGGAGTAAGATAAACAAATTTGTTTACTTCAGAAACTCACAGCTTGTAATATCCAAATATGCACTATAAATCACTAAGAGGCTATAGGATATAGTACATTCCAAATTTACTTGTTCAAGGATCTTGTTTTTTCTTATCACATATATTGACATCTATAAGGCACTAATATTTCAGAAACCAGTATTTTTAGTCTGAAAAAATGTAAGCAAGGACTACAAATACCACTGTAGCCATTAAAAAAGAACTGATTTTAGGCAGTCAGCTTCTGGTGAACCCTCCAGAATAAAGTAGCTGCAAAGTGTGTCCCTATGGAAAACCCAAGTATTCAAGCAATTATGCTGAAAATGTTTCATTTTGGGTTTGTTGACCTTAAACTCTTTCTGGCAGTAATTAGATAGTAAAGCCAGTTGCTTTCTGAAGAACTCCAAGTTTATGACAGGGAAGTATCCACCAACATATAGACAATAATTATATTTCTGTTCTAAGGCATGCAACTCATCAAGTGTCATCAAGGCATTAAAACACAAGTTTAAAAACATGGATAGGTCTTAAGTTGGCTTCCACAGAAGTCAGCTCAGACAAACTGTGCAGATTTACTGGGGACAGCCCCGGAGCAGTACCTTCAGGGGCCAGTGGGAAGCAGGACTGTGACAGTCATAAGGCTCTAGCAGATTCCTTCCAGAGCTCTGGTGCCAGGGAGGCCCTTCAGCGTAGTCCAGCCTTGAGGCAAGGGCACCAGGCTCCTATATCCTCACAACAGAGCCATCATTGTATGCTGGTTGCCCCAGGAAAGGGGCATGACTATGGGCAAGGTGGCCTCTTGGGCTAAGGGTAATTTTCCACAGGGAGAATCAGGTGACAGCCATCAGCCACCAACACTTTCAGCATCAGGGAAAGTTAGAGAGAGCTAAGCCACACCCCAGTGTCCACTATAGCAGCCAATACACACACCCTCTCCCACCAAAGTCAAAGGGCGTCCAACCTGCAGAAAAACATGCCTACCAAATACAGCTCTCATACTATTAAATGACAAGCTCTGTTTCAGTGTCAGTAGCCAAGGATCTGATCTTTGACAATACTCTGTCCATAACAAGTATTCATTAAACTGCAAATAATCTTATTTGTTTATTGTGAAAATTATTTTATATTATAAGCCAATAAACTAATTGACTGTTGTTACTGTAAACCTAGCTGTTCTTCATGAAGAATTGTGGCCTGAGAACATCAGTTTTCTCTAAGTACTATAACACAGTAATCCTTGAAACAAAATTTAACATTAAAAGGCTTATGTTTCCCACTTAACTGAAGTAAAACACTGGAGTTTTTTTTTAAATCACAAAACCCTTTGGCTTTCTTAATAAAATTAAGTTAGTATCCCATTGGAAAAAGTAATGAAAAAAAGTTAGAGACTCTAGGTTTCTCCTGATTCTGCTTTTCATGTATTCTATCAATTAATTTATTCCTTAAAATGAATCTACTGTGGATCTCCCATTAGAAGACACCATGCTTGGTACTGCAATGAATATGAAGTTCACCATCTAAGATAAACAGACATGTGAACAGGTAATTATAAGTTAGTCAACAAACATAGCTAAGCACCAACTATGTGCCCAATCATCAGGAGAAACAGTCTTTGCCTTTATGAGGCTTACATATAATCTAAGAAATGTTAAAACAAATGACTATAGAGATACTAGTCTTTGCCCACACAGGGGAAAGATAGTCATGGAAGGCTTCATAATAGTATCAACTAACTTTTATTAAATGCTTAAAATACACCAGGTGCACATGTAAATTTACTCAACTCCAATTAACCCTCTGAGGTAGATGTTATTTAATTTCCAATTAAAGTAGTTTCCTTAATCCAGGTCACACAGATGACAAGTGGCAGGAGTGGGATTCACAGAGAACCTAACTTTGGAACTGAGCTTTGAAAATTGAGTAGGAATTTGCCAGATGGATATAAAAAGGAGGATGGTGAGAGCATTCCAGACACAGGGAACTGCAAGTACAAATGCTTAAAAGTTGTCAGAAAGCTGCAAGTTCATCTTCATGTAGGCTACTTGTGGGAGAAGCACAGGAGTCCAGGCCTGAGAAGTGGGAACAGCAGGGGTGGGACAGAGACAGGAATCACGCCCACAAGGGGCGGGCTGAAGGAGTGGAAGCACAAACTGACAGGAGTGACAGATTTTTAACAACATTAATAAAAATGGATAATGTTCATTAAGAGCATCCTGTAAGCTGAACATGGGCTAAATACTGACATGCATTATCTCATTTTATCTTCTCTGCAATTTTATGAGGGAGGTGGTACTCATCTCATTTTACAAATGAGAATGCTGAACCTAAAGGGGAAAAGATTGTCCAGGGTTCTACTTCTTATGAGTTACAGACCTGGGACTCTAAACAAGAGAAGCTAGGAGACCATAGCTCAGCTGTCTGCTCTGGCATGCATGGCCATCACACCACACCCTCCCTCTACGGGCTGGAGGATGGCACAGGAGGTAATAAGGGTGAAACTCAGACTCCAGCCCAGAACACACATGATGTCCTTAATCAAGGATGTGCCAGCCATGGGCTAGAGGAGAGATCTGAGAAATATGCATACAGAGGTGGCATTGGAGACTGAGTAAAGAGTCATGGATAACAGCCAGCTGTCTGAAGAGACGGTGATTCCAATAACCAGGAGAATGTTTAGATAAGCACTGAGAGGTGGGCAAAGGGGATGGGAGATAAATGCCAAGGTCAAGGTCTCCTTGGCTACAGAAGGAAGGGCCCAGTGGGCAGCTGGAGGTGAAGGAGGGTTGGAAACTGAGGAACATAATCTGCTATGAAGGCATAAATTTAGCCAAAAACATGTTGAAGGTAGGAGAATAACTGAATCTGTCTAGGGAGAATGTAAAGAAGAAGAGATGGACAGAAATCTAGAAATCCTCAACTATTCAGGAAAGAATCCACTTTCTCACTCTGTAAAAATAAGGGGATATATGTATATATACATATGTATCTGCCATATATCTGCCTTTATAAACTTGAGAAGGGGTTTCTTTTCCAAGGAAGGCAGGCTGTCTTTAGTGTTATCTCTGAAAAAACAACTTATCACTTTCCACATGTGAGGTTTTGAATTATTTCTAGGTGATATTTTTCTGGGAAAAAAAGCTAGTTGAATGGTTTATGTATTTAATAAAAAGTAAAAATAGCACAAAGAGTTTATGAGTTTACTGCCCAGATCTGCTTGGCCACTGTGAGCCCCAGTCACCAATGTCAGTAATTCCACTGTAGGCATAAGCACCATAAGCTTTGAATGGAAGCACCGCATGCTTACAGCACTCCTAGAATATACCATTTTCTAGCCTTCTTTCTTAATCTTCACCCTTCACCCTGAAAAACATTACAGTGCTGCTTACCTGCCTGAGGATTCAGTAGGAGGGGTGATATCTCCAGTTTCTCTTTTTAAAACAAAGGAAACTTCTCAATGTTCACAGTAGCAAGAAGAAGAAAAAAAAAGCCAGCCTGTTTGGTCCGCCCTCCCTGGCGGCTGCTACCTTGCAGTTTATGACATAGAGAGAGGGAGGTCTGGTGAAGTGAGCAAGGCAGCCCGAGAGCTAGTCCGTTCCGTGGAAGCCATGAGCCCCTTGGTACGGGCAGCTGTTCTTACTTTCCTGAGCGATTTCTTTTGTGTGACTTTGCAAGAGGCTCATGAATGATTCCTAATTGTGCTCCTTGCTGAGGCGAGCTGCACAGGGAGGGAGTGACCAGCTGACTGGAGGCAGAGCAAGCAAACCAGGACCACACAGTGCTGGAACTGGCTCAACCCTCGCATGCAGTTTTTGAAGTCAGCAAAACAGAAATCAAATTACTATCATATTATGCTGGTGGAAGCTCAAGGAGAAGGGACTCAACACGGACTTAATTACTATGGGCGATGCAGCGAGTCACAAAACAGCAGAGTACGTCTAACGCATGAACCCTGAGGACAAAAGTAAGTTCTCATGCTGCTGTATTTTAGTGCTATGTAATTTTCTTTCTGGCTTGAAATCATGCTTGGCCAAAATGTAATCATCTTAATGAGAATTTCTAGTGTGGAAAGTTGTCTGCTAATCTTTGCTTAAGAATTTTTCTCTTTTTTTTAACTAAGCAACATAATACAAGCTGAAACTGCCATCAGCAGCTGTGGCGATTCAGCCCAAGTCTGACTGAGAACACTAACCCGAAATACATCCAATCACCATGGGATTAACTGGATGCATTTTTAATTGACTTTCTGAATGTAGCATGTATACAGCCCCACTGTTTTGGACTGCATGCCATTTTAATACTGCTGTGGCTAAACTAGTGTGATCAGCATAACCAAAAGACTGAGACAGAGCTAAACGAGACTCCTGGTAGTTACGAAACTTTTTTTTTTTTTTTTGACCAGGATCACATTTTTCTCCCTGAACACTCAAAACTCTGCAACCTCTATGTTAAAAGTTCACTCTGCTTTTTTGACCTTGCTTTGGAGAAAAAAAAATGAGACCAAACAGAGGACTCTACTAAAATTGTGAATGAAGGAGACATAAAGAGCCATTGCAGTTCCTTACCTACTATTGTAATAATGGGAGACAAAGAGCCACCCAAAGAAGGCCAGCAGATCCAGCAGCTTCCAGGTGACAGGGTGTGGGGATACAAAGACAGGCACTGAGCAGAGCCTATGACTTGTTAGTTTTTCTATACTTCATCTGCTACAAGTTTTGGCTTAGAAATGGATATTCTTTGTGAAGAAAACACTTCTTTGAGCTCAATGGCAAACTCCTTAATACAGTTAAATGATGGCACAAGGCTCTACAATAACCGCTTTAACTCGGGAGAAGCTAACACTTCAGATGCATTTAACTGGACAGTGGACTCAGAAAATCGAACCAACCTTTCCTGTGAGGGCTGCCTCTCACCACCGTGCTTCTCTTTACTTCATCTCCAGGAAAAAAACTGGTCTGCTCTGTTGACCACTGTAGTAATTATTCTAACCATTGCTGGAAACATACTCGTCATCATGGCAGTGTCCCTAGAGAAAAAGCTGCAGAACGCCACCAACTATTTCCTGATGTCACTTGCCATAGCTGATATGCTGCTGGGTTTCCTTGTCATGCCTGTGTCCATGTTAACCATCCTGTATGGTGAGTGGCATTAGTTTCCCAGCTGTACCCACACTGGTAATAAAGAGAATGTGCATGTCATTAGCAGGTGAGCCGGGACTCAGGGGACAAACTAAATACAAGGCTTTGTTTATAGATAACTGTCTACCATGTTATACTAGTCCCTTGAATTTTACTCTTACTAAAGTGGGGCTTCACATATTAAAAAATCAGGCAACCTATTATTACGAACACTGGAAAGTTTCGTGCTTTGACACATGTACATTTTATGTAGAAATGAGTGTAAATGCCCCCAATGTAATCATAAAACAATAATTTATGTCATTCTGAACCCACTTCATTTTCACTCTTATGTATTCCCAAGTATTCCAGCCTCCAGGACAGAACAGCTTTTGTCTTGTCACACAGTGTTCAGCACATCTAAGGGAGTGGTAAAATATTCCCAATTACCTTGGAACATTTGCAGAGAGAACATTAGTGGTACAGTGGACTTAATGTTAAAATATTCAGTCCCCATTAGAATAAATGAATTGCTCCAGTTTTAACTGTTCCCTGCCCAGAGAGCTAATTTGGAAGTGTGCTTTTAAACTATACCCTCAACTCTTTAAAAAAACACATGCCTAAATTCCTCCAGTCTGGTTTGGAGAAGGATGGAAAACAAATGGAAAGAGATTAATCTTGCTTCTCAACAGTTTGAAAGAGTCAAACCTCTCAGCAAGTCAGCAAACACTGGGACGGCTTTAGTGGGAAACAGAATGTGATATTCTTTCCAAATTATGAGTAATACAGCCAGATTTCTCCTTTTAAAGAGAATGTTGAGACTGTTAACACAAGCCCATCAGCAGTCACTCAGAGCTAGAAACAGGTTATGAACACTTTGATTCAGAGGGGATTTTTCTGGCCAAGTCCTACAGGCTTAAAATAAAAACAGCCTTGGGGAGTGTGAAGGAGGAAGGTGAGAAGTGAGAGCAGGCGCTGGTTTGCACAGGGTCGTTAATGCCCATGACCACCAGATGTCACAGCAGGACGATTTCATTGAATTTGCCTGCTATTGCCCATATATTCTGGAGAGGTTCTCCCTTCCTAAAGGCCCAACCCTCTCGAAGGCAAACTCCAGGAGTGATAGATGATTCTTAGAAGACCCATCTGGAAACAAATTCTCGCGGGAGGGCAGGAATGACCTCGGGCGGCGGGAGGGGGCAGGCACCCGCCCTCCGCGTTAGGAAGCAGGGACCGGCCCAGCACCTCCCACTCGGGGTGCAACGGCGCCCTCTGGCGGCGTCCACCACGCGCGCAGGCGTTCCACGCCGAGCTGCGCCCCTCCCTGGGCTGGTCCTCCCTCTTGGCGGGTTGAGGAAATTAACCCCCCTTATCCTCGCCGCGGAAACGCGACTACCGCCCGCGGCTGCCTTCTTGCAGAGAAAACTCCTCCAAGGGCCAACATCAGTTCCGACCAGGCAGACGTCGGTCTCGTTTTAGCTCAAGATCTTTGAAAATAATCAGGGTGAAAGGCACGAAGTTAGGCTTGTATCCTACACGCTTTACTTTCCTAAATACCCTTGGTGACAATATGGTAGAAAGGGTAGGTTTTCGAATACTGAGTTTGCAGGTCCGGAATACTGTGAGGAAGAGGTGGGCTTTACAATCTTTCTCCTCACATGCACACAGACCTAATACCATTGTTTATGCTGTTTCCTGAACTAATTTTATAATCTGATCCATCTCTGAAACAAACGCAGGACACTCGGCTTATGTCTGTGAGGCATCTCCTGTCTTCCTAGTGTAACAGGTGATCTGCTGCAGCGCTTTTCCTCTTGGAATCATCTGGGAAACTAAAACGCCGCTGTTTGGGGCCTGCTGCTGCCCACCCCTCTGGGCCCCAGGGCCTGGAGCGCAGCTCTCCTGCTGATGGTACTGTGAGGCCCGGGGTGAGAACCGTTTCCCTGAGCGGCTGTGGCCCAAGTGTTGTCCTGGGATAGCAGAGTCAGCACCACCTGGGAAGGTGTTGGAAGAGAAAATTCTCCTGCCCCACTGCTGACTTACAGAATCAGAACCTCCGGGGTGGGATGCAGGACTCTCATTTTAAGAAACCAGCTAGGAGACCGTGAGTCTCACTGAAGTTTGAGAACTGCCACCCTGAAACGATTCTCAGGATGAAAACACCATTCTTCTCTTAGTGGTTGCTTTCATTCTCCTCCATACATATACCCTAACTGTTAGCTTGACACACAAAATATTATTACATAAGTCTTTTTCAATTTTACAAATAAAGATAATATTCCTATTCTAGAATTTTAATCATTTATTCATTCACACCTTTATTGGGAGACTATTAAATGCCATTGCTGTGGGAGACTGAGCAGTTAAAATAATGACTAATAGACGGCCTCAACCTCAAGGAACCTACCGTATGTGAAAGATGTGTGAGAAAATCACGGCATGATACACTGTGAGAGGAGCTTCTACAGAGGAGCCTGAAATGCAACATAATTTCTGACCTAAATCACTAAAAAAAAAATCAGATTTTATCAGGCAGAAGAGATAGAAACGCTAAAGAGAGACCATCTCAGTTTACCACAATGCACCGGCATAATTCCAGCCCCAGGAAATGTTCCTTCCTCATGTTCAGTGCGATCTTACCACAATGACGTATAGTTGTTTCACGTTTTTTTTTAGTTTAGAAAATATCTTGTGTTGCCCCTTGCCACCACATGTGCCTTTCCCCAGGAAGGAAACTGTTGCTGAAGGGTAAATTCCACACACCGCAGGAGGTACAAGGCTGCTGGCTGATGCTGACTTTCTGCATTCAGGTTACCGGTGGCCTCTGCCCAGCAAGCTCTGCGCTGTCTGGATTTACCTGGACGTTCTCTTCTCCACGGCCTCCATCATGCACCTCTGTGCCATCTCACTGGACCGCTATGTCGCCATCCAGAACCCCATCCATCACAGCCGATTCAACTCCAGAACGAAGGCATTTCTGAAAATAATTGCCGTTTGGACCATATCAGTAGGTAAGTGGGAACAGTACCTCAGGGTCTCACTTAAAATGATAATTTGTGCCTTCCAAGGAGGTTTGTTCTGTTTTATTGCATGGAAACCTGACAATCCTGAATCTATTGTTTCCTATGTTGTGAGATGTTACAACATAATAATTATCAGATTTGCTTTTGGAAAGAATATCTATTAAGGTCACTGGCTGACAGTATACATTTGTATTGCTTTGCACAGATAAGAACATATACACTGATACAGCAGAAACTGGAATAACTGTGCCGCAGCTACCGCCAAAAACTTTCCCCCATCTCACACTTTCAAGTTCATTACTCTAAATCTTTACTTTCCCAACATTTATAATCACTGGACCTGTGATCAGTAAGAATACAGATGCCCATACTGGAGAATACAAAGCTTCTGGGGCTCAAGTCAGGTACCAGGTGCTGTAACTCAGAGGGAGAAGGTGAGGACAGAGGAAGGTGGCAGGACCTGCTCAGGGGCATGGCCATTCAGGCTGCCCAGGGTCTCTGTAACCCTTCCTCATGTTATATACCACACACCAGAGGATTTCAACCCGCTTCACTTAGTTTGAACACACACACTCACTTCTTCCCAGTAGTGTGCTCTTCTGGCACACACCTAACAGGAAAGCCCAGGTCATGGAAGCTAAAGGGACAGCTCCCAGCCAGTTAAGTCAATTGTACCTGTTACTTCAGCAGGCTTGGTTTGTGACCAGAGCTTTCCTGTGATTTGTTTTAAAGTTGCAAAGCTTTTCAGGCAGAAGGCTGGGCTGCACCTGCTTATGGCCAGGTGGGTGCCAGTATACTGTAACATGAGAATGTGGGGTTTGATGGCAGTCTTGACATCAGGGACATGTGTAAGTCTACCCACAGCTTTGTAATAAAATGTAAATAGCAAACACAATTATATGGTATCTTGTGTTCTTGAGTTCTTCTTGTTTACTTGGCTGTTAAAGGTGTAATCTGCAGAGTAGGTAATTCCATTTTATGGATGAGGGAACAGGGGTTTAAGAAGTGAAATGACCCCATAGCTAGTAAATAGCACAATGAAGAGTGAGAAGTCTTATTTTCCATTTTAAACTTTACATTACAGTTGAGGTAGACAGAACAGATCTTGCTGTGCTCATCTGGTGCATGAACAAAGCACAGCAGAGAGGGTCTATGGCTTTCTGAATCACCTCTCCAACTAGCAGCAGGTGTAGGACCCTGAACCTCCAGCACCAAGCCCTGCTCTCTTTGCTGAATCACCACTTTCCTTAGGAAACCATTTGTGTTCCATAACATCCTTGTGGTTTCTGGGCCTGTGCAAACTTGGACTTATTCTATTAGGAGAAAGTGGTACTGAACCCAAGCTGCACATAAGAGCCCATAGGGAGCATTCTGATTTAAATGGCCATGGTAGGGCCAGGTGACTAAGGCCACTGAGACAGACTGTGGAGGAGACAGAGGTAATTAGTAGAAAAGGGTAAGAATAAATCAAATGAAGCAAGCCAAACTATTGTCAAATTTACTCTAATTTGCCCCCATGCACTGTTCCACTGGTGAGGCAGATGCTGGGAGAGTCACCATCTTTTACCCTCTACCATACTGACACTTTTCCCCACCTTAGTCAAGCTTAACAAGAGCACTAGTATTAAGGGCTGTTTCTGACCCCATAATATTCAAAGCACCTTATTGAAAATAAGCTATAGAGAAGTTGCACAGGATGACACAGCTCATAACCGTAGTCCCCCCAGATCAGGCCAACTCCAAAGTCCACACCCTGTCTACTGCCTAATAAGTCAATCTGCCTCCTCCTCCTTGCAGCCATCCCTCCAGGAGGCAGGCAAGCAGGTGTACATGTTTGTGGAGGTGCTGGTCAGGGGGCATCATTCATTCACTTGGAGCTGATTGCATAGCTACTACGTGCTAGGCACTGAATATGCTCAGATGAGTAAGATGCACATTTAGAGATCCAACAGTGTGGTGGGGTAAGGCAGATATGGAAATACAAAAACCAAGGTCACATAGGCTCTGTACCACAAGGCTGAGATGTATGGGCTGAGGAGGGGGCAGTTGGGAAAGGTAAAAAGTGCAAAACCATTTCTAATGAAGGGCCTGAAGGGGCTCAGCATAAATATTCTGAATTTTCCTCCAGTGTTTCCATTTCTATTGACCTTGTTTTGTACTGTTGTTTTACATTTAAATACTTAGTCTAGCTGGAATTTATTTTTGTATATGGTCTAACATGTTTTCTTCTACCATTTAAAGCCTTTTCAGCATCTATTGATAGGATCAGTTTTTCCCCTTCAATTTATTGATATAATAATACAGCTTTCTTGATGGATTTGAGTATTGAGCTGCTCTTGCATTCCTGGAATATATTCATAAGTGAAATTGGATTTTCATGACTTTGTTAGCTGGTGTATTATTCTTACAAGGTTTCTTTTTCTAGCTTCATTAAATGAATTAGGGAGGATTTTTTTTTTCCTAGGTCTTGAAATATTCAAGTAGGAATGTTCTTTAAAGGTTATGTAGAATTTAGTTCTAAATCTCTCTCCCCCCATTGCCTTTCCAGATGATATCTTTAATTGCATCTCTAGCCTCTTCAATAATTATTATTTCATTCATATTTTTTTACCATGTCTTGAGTTATTAGCTGCAAAGTTTGTCTTTTATATTGATTTATTATCTTTTATCATTAAATCCAATGCTTCTTGCCTTAAAATCTACTTCATCTGATATTAGTATAGCTATGCCAGTTTTCTTTTGGTTATCACTTTCTGGATATATCTTATTCCATCCTCTTACATCAAACTTCTTTCTGACGTCATATTTAAAATACATTGCTTGTAAGCAGCATATATAAGTCTGTTTTTATTCAGTCTTTCCCTTTTTAATTGAATCAGTCTATTTACATTTAATATAACTCATATTTGGGTTTAAATTTACCTTCTTACAGTTTTCGTTCTATTGTCCCACGTATTGCATATTCTAGCCTTTCTTCCACTCTTGTCCTCTTTCAGACTAATCCAGAATTGTTAGTTCAGTATTCCCCTTTATAAACTTGCTATCCACTCTTAAATCCTTTTAGTGATTACAACACTTATTTTTTACCTAATAGTGTCTAGTACAAATCCCTTCTATTATCTCTTGAATAATGCAAAAACTTTAGAATATCATAACTCAATTTACCCCTCTGTCTTTTGCATTATTTTTTCTACTTTCCAATTCTGTGTATCTTTTTAAAATCCAAAAGACATCATTTTAAGTCTCTCATTCACTCAGTATTTATTTCCCATATATTTATTGTTTGTGTCATTTCCCTTTCTGCCTGGGTTCATAGTCCTTAATCCTGAAGGACTTTTAGAATATCATGTAGTTTTCTTTCAGTGTTTGTTATCCTCAAACATCTTTCTTTTGCCTTCATTTTTAAGTATATTTTTGCTCCATATAGAATTCAAAGATAGCAGTTCTGTTCAGCAATTTACAGGCAACATTCCAAAGTTCTAGCTTACATTGTGTTTTGTTTCTTTTTGATAAATCAGCTGTCAGACTTGTTGTTGTTCCTTAGAAACTACCATTTCTTGACACCCTTTTCTGCTTTAGGACTTTTTGTCATATCTTATTTCTTCATTCACCCAGAATCCCAATTCATAGGTTTTTCCATAGTTTTTAAATAACTTAGTAGTGCAATATAGCTTTTTAAGCAAGTCTAAAAAAATGCAGAAACCATACAGATGTAGACATAGCTGACTACATAGGAAATAGTAAGCTTTATATAGCTGTAATCAATATAAGCAAGGTGAGAAGAAAGGTTTCAATGCAATGGGTAACAGACCAAGGGCAATCTCTTTAACATACAAAAGTACCTACATTTTGATACAAAAAGAAAAGGTAAACAACAGTGAAAGAAATACATAAGCTGTACAAACAGGCAATTCACAGAAATATAACTTGAAATGGACAGTAAAGCAAATGAAAAATGCTCACCTTCTTTACAGTCATGGAAATATGATTTAAAACAACAATATGTTACCATTTTTCACTCCTGCGATTAGGTGTTTTCACTCATTTTAATTTTGCCAGTGCAGTTTTGGATATGGTGCCCTAGATCTTGTCATATCTTTTGTGACATAAAGTTTTTGTTTTTGGACAAGCTAACAAAGCTACTAAAATTTGAGCTATCAATCGCATTTGAGAGAATCTGTTCTACATAAAAACAAAAATAGACATAAGAGTCTTTAATGCAGAATTTTGGGGAATAACAGAAAAGTAGAAATGTTGGATTATGGTTAGATGTATATTTTTATCTAAGTTTAGAATACTTTTCAACTCTTAAAAATATTGAGGTGAAGTTATTTGATATTCAGCTGGAGAATGGCCATGATGTTAAGTGCAAAAAAGCAAGTTTCACGGTGGTAAGCATGATCTGAGCCATACTGGTAAAATAATAGTAATAATAGATGAGGATATATACATCTTAGCCCAGAGAATCTGTCAAAAGACTTCACACCTGTCAAGAAGGTGAAATTAGAAAGTGGCAGGATTGTTATATTGTTATATAGTCCCTTATATATTTCTGTACAGCTTTGTTACAAATACTGTTATGATGGTGACAAAGTAATTTTTGGATGATCAAGAATGAAGCAGTTACCCCTGTGCCATAGGAGAGATGATTTCATGGAGATGGTCTCTGACCTTCAAAGTTCGCTAGGATCTAACAAACAGCAACTTGGTAACAACATCCTAGGTAACTGAAATTTTCTTGCTCTAGGTATTCTGAGATACGCTGCTTCATTCCCCTGCTTACTGCTGCCAGCTTGGTCACTTTGCCTTTTGCCAAGGTTTCCATCTAATTCTGAGAAAAATCAACATAATCATAAATCAAATGCAATTTCTACTTGTGAACTTCTCTGAGTAAACAAGTGGTGACCAAAAAGATTGAAGCATTAAGAATGATCCTGAGTTTCTCTGTAGATTTCATTTTCCCTTCATACACTCAATTCCCAGGATCA